CCACTTAGGTAGTCTCCAAATAGCTATCTAGGCAGATCGGATCAGTCGAGTCAATGGGCAAGGCTGCATTAGGAAAATTGCGTACTGTACATATAACAGCAAACACGAAACAGAGAAAAAAAAATGAGGAATCACAGTCGGAATACGTTCGTAAGAATCCTATGGTTTGGTCGCTCAAGTGAGAAACGCCACTAACCGCAACAAAGTAAAACTGTACTAGATAAAGTCGTAGACGTTGGTCGACAACTGAGACAAAAGCAGGGTAGGGGTGTTAAGAGATTGACCGCGAAGCAAGGATAGAGCAGAATAAATCATCAGGGGGCTATTCAGAGAGGAACTTCGTTGAAGTCACTCTCGCCCTCTTTGCCTTTGCCCTTTGTGCCTCCGAGGTTTGTCGACTCGGAGTCACCCTCGGGCCTGTTCTGTGGAAAGGTCTGCTCTTTCTCTGTCTCTTCATTGCTCTCCTCTGCAGTTTCGGGTTCAGGCTCCTCGTTCTTCGCCTCTGGAATAGGTGCCGCTTCTGCCTGACCATTTTGATAAGGCTCATCTGTATCTTCGGCTTTATCTTTGGGCGGGGGTGAAGGGGGCAGGATGTCGTTTTTCTCATGTTGTGATCCAACCTCTTGTGTCTGCCTCTGCGCCTGCGGTTGGCTACTCGTCTCACCCCCAGGGAATGGAGTCAAAGGAGGCTCTTCGGGTACTTGCTCTGGCACGGGGCTCCGTTGGGGCTGAGTGCTGGGCCTTCCCTGGTTGGCACTTGTCGCAGTCGAAAGAGTAGAAGTAGTACGCTGGTGGGACGAGCCGTGGATCACGCCGAGTTGACGGGCCTTGGGATCTGCGTTGAGATAGTAGCCACGCACACCGGCAATAGTCCCCTCTGTCTCGCAAGCATCCACCCACTCCGGCACCACGACAGGAATGTTCATCTCTACAGCCTTCTCCCACTGCGCGCCCCGTCCTTCCGTGCAGACGAAGTGAGTGGTATCGATACGGACCGAGTCGATCATCTTGCCTCCAATGCGGTCCAATGCAGCACCGAGAGCCTCCTTCTGCTGTGGATCGAGTACACCCGTTGTGACAGTGATACCGGACAGGTCAGTCATCTTGTGTGTGCGACACGTCAGCTTCTCCGACTGGTAGGTGCCAGCCGTGGTTCGCAGGACCAGATGGAAGGAGTACTCGGAGTGAATGGCCAGACCACTGATTTTTGTGCTGCGTGTCTCTAGCGGGCGGGGTATGCAGCCGGCCTTGGAACCATTGCGATAAAGGGAGAGCGATTTCAGTGATGCAGTGGCTAGGTCGATTGGGTCCCACTCGAGAACGAGCGAGGTCTGGGTCGCATTTCGGAGGCGCAAGATGGGGGGTGACGGGGCCTTGACACCGTACGTATTTAAAATCCGCTTCTGGAGAGATTGGAAGGCAGATGCGCTCGCTGCTTCGGCAGCGTGGTTGCGCGAAACGGTGATATCGACAATGCTGCCTGAGCTAATGTTGCTGGGAAGGAGGACTGAGGGGAATTCGATCTGCGCGGAGAATTTGTCAGTAAGGTGTGTTTGTTTGCTATTGATGTTCCGCAGAATTGCATGTCGTCGATATCTTCGGGGTAGGGAGTAAGGGACCAGGGGTTTGAGCTTACGAGCCGATTGTCCTGGGTGAGGAGCACTGCGACACCCGCGTCTACCTTGCCAACTGTCAAGGAAACCAACATAGCGAAAAAAAGGAAGAGGGGAAGGTTTAGGAAAAGTTGTGGTGGTTGTCAAGTGAATCTTAGCCTAGACCTGGGTCGTTGATTCCGCCAGATCGGCATTTAGCGAGATACGCGCTTCTGTATTTACTTCTGTACCTCGGAGCCAACAACGACAGCTTAGTTGTAAATTGGAGGTATAAAGAATGAAAAAAATCAGGAATTGAAATAATTTAAATCTCAGATGCAAACTAATTCCCCCCAAATGCTATAAATCGCAATGTCGCCTAATGATGTACAATAACAGTCCAACAATCGACTGCTAGTAGTATGATACAAGATGTTATGGTAATATACATTGAGTCTCACGGAGTCGCATGATGTCCACGGCTTGCTAGGCCTCGCTTTCTGAGTGTAGCTCATCGACAATAGGTCATTTCCTCGGTGATTCATGATCCAGAAGCAAGGATATTAGATGATCTGCATCCTTTTGGACCCCCTCTAAGTTCCGCGTCACACATGGCGGCTGAATGTAGATGTCCATGGTTCCTGACAATTTTCTCCTTCGCAAAGGAGCCTCAGAAACAAGCGGGTTCCCCAGCTTATCCAATCCTTGCTGTCTTAAAGCCTGCTCGACAGCCATTCGCACTCTGCGCGCGCACCAAGAGCGAACAACCCGCTTGCTTTGCTGGAGTTGTGACACGGAAACTCGCCACCATAGTGTGTTTCTTTCACGATGTCCACAGAGATCGACAATTTTGGGCCGGATCGCATGGGTGGGAGAATTCAGGTAGCGTGCGGCAACAGGAGGGGTGTTGCATTTGGGCCAATACCGAAGCACCAAGCTATTTGTAGACGTGACAAATTTCATCGCCATGATAGAAGAGGTTTACCGGTGGTCGTAAGGGTATGCTGGCTTGGACTGTGAAATATAACGAGAGTCGTAGCACATTGATATCATGTCGGGTTGCACGTTAAGGTTGATTAAACAGAGCCGGCGAAGACCTATGGACACTTCGGAGGAACAATTGGTGATTTGGGATATAGGTTCAAAAAGATACCATCGAGCCACGAAGAGAAGTATCACAGATGTATTGTGAATGTACTCGGCAGGCGCCGAATCTTCGGAGCTTGCGTGAATAAAGCAGTCTCGTGCTGCTTCTTAGGACGGGTCGCACGGAGGGCAAGAAAGCTGTAAATGAAGTGAATACTCAGGATCTTGGACAGATCAGACAGCACCTTTTATCGCAACACCTCAGAGAATTCCTCAGAAATGCCCTTGCAAACTTCCAAGCTTGACACTCATCCTTTTCTGCCAAATCAAACCAGGCGGTCAAAATCTACCCCGAAATCAGGCATCAAGGCATAAATTTGCCGTAGTTAAGCGGGGGCGAAATCGCTGTGACGCCACTGGGCAGCCAGTGCCTGATTACATAATAAAAAAGATTTGAATACCAGTGCACAGAACCCCCACCTCCTTCTTTCTTCCACTCTCACTCCCCTAATCAACCTCGATTAGGCCTCTTCAGATCTTCGTTGATCTAAGGAAAAAATCTTCCCCAGAGACTTGACCCAGGTGAAGGTCACGAAAAACCGCTATGCCCAAGAATAAGGGAAAGGTAAGCGCGCAAAATATCCAGCCCCTCCTCTTGGTGATAATTTCCTCGCCACATCCACCGTCTCGGGTAGCCACCTACCCTCAAGCTGGTGACTTGTGGGCTCGCGAAATATTTTTTTCACTTTGGAAACCACTGATCTTCACTTGTGTGACACATGCTGACAACCAAGTATAGGGCGGTAAGAACCGTCGTCGCGGCAAGAATGAGAACGACAACGAGAAGCGTGAACTTGTCTTCAAGGAGGAGGGCCAGGAGTACGCTCAGGTCGTGAAAATGCTAGGCAATGGTCGCCTAGAGGCACTCTGCTTCGACGGCGAGAAGCGTCTGGCCCACATCCGTGGCAAGCTCCGCAAGAAGGTCTGGATCAACCAGGGTGATATCATTCTCCTCTCGCTCCGTGACTACCAGGACGAGAAAGGCGATGTTATCATGAAGTACACCGCCGACGAGGCCCGTTCTCTAAAGGCTTATGGCGAGCTCCCCGAACACGCCAAGATCAACGAGACCGATACCTACGGTGGTGAAGGCTTGGACGACAACGTTGAGTTCGACGAGGACCGCGAAAGCGAGGACGAGAAGGAGATCGATGTCGACGAGCTCTAAGCTCATCCCCTGCTACCCCTAGAGTTCGATGCTCTGCCCCTCAAGGATACCCCGGATACATCCTCCTCGGTATTCTCCATGTTCGCCAAATCCCTCTCCTCCTACTCGCCGTCGTGGACACAGTGCCATCGCTCATCTGCTCCGAAACTGCCTTTGACTACTTGCCACGCGAGGCACTTTCGACATCCGATTCCCTCTATACATTCGTTCGAACGGACCAAGAGCATGAACCACCTCCCCGGCCTACGACGCTGCTCCTCACCTCGGCTTGCATGAGGATGGGAAAACCCTCCATTCTGGCGCTACTGCGATAACTTTTACGGGCTTGAAGCCATCGAACAGAGGACCCTAGGTATTTCTCCATTGGCGTTCCAAGGTGGATCGATCGTCGATACCATTTTTGTCCTTTGTGCAAATATCTTGGGATCATGACAGAGAATAAAATGATTGCCATGCACACATCATGAACCTGTGTGCTTGTTTTCCTGCATTGCATTGCATGCGGTGTGTTCACTCTGTTCAGCCTCGACTTGCTTTTCTTTTCGTTCTTTTATGATAAGAGTCATGAAATGGGCCACGAGAATTGAAAATATTTTTTGAAGATTATTTTACTTGTAGACCAATTCAAAGCAGTAATTAGACAAATCAAGTGAACTATCGTAACTAAACTTTGGGGGTTCTCAGGCAGGGGCTTTTGATGGGGCCACTACACATAGAGCCGCCTGCATGGGCAGCACAACTTGGAATTTAGAGAACAAAGACGTAGTTATATAAGGAGCATTGACTTTACAGGAGATAACAGGGTCCAGGGCCCCCTGGATTATTCGTATTCGGATAGCAAGAACCTTTGCGTAGTTATCTTTAGGTCAATGCCCAACGTCGAAGCCAATTGCTACCTATCGACGGAGTATTATCCTCTCATTTGATGGTTGGACCGAAGAAGTTATGTTTATATCAGACAACCCACCAGGCATCAAGTAATTCCCTCGTTGTTAACAAATTGAGATACTGTTCCGAGTGGAGGGACCATCGTCTTGTTGGCCGCCCCGTCGTTGCTGCGATGAGGTTCGGCACCTTCGCTAGATGCCGGAAAATTAAGGGGCAGGGCGTGGTCGGGCACCGATGATCGCCAAATCAGCAGCCCCTAGAACAATGTCGTGCTCGCCAGCCCGCGGCGCTCGCCGCATAAGAGTGGGGAAACTAAGAATCAAAGGGCCACCTGTGACCACCCCGTTCTGCAATGTCGCTCTCTGGGTGCATTGAACAACTTCGGCCGGACAATTTCTGGTTACAGGGGCATGGGACTGGTTAGGAACCTCAGTCCAAACTTCAAAATTGACGCGGTACGGATTGTCGCTTGCCACATCGATTAACACGACGATTTTGGTTTCTTGGGTGGTATTTCTATACCACCAATGGGCATCCAGTTGGAGTTGGCCCAAGGATTCAGAAAAGCCAGTTTCAAGAATGAGGGAGGGATATTCGGTGGCAGGATATTCGTCTGCCGCTGAATTGATACGTGCGTCGTACGGACCGAATGCCCAATCGGGCTCCTTACTTTGTAGAAATCCGCGAGTTATTTCGGCGCCTTGGTCAGTGAAATCTCCGTTCTGCAAGGACAAGCCCATAGCATTGAGGTGGCCCATAACGATAACACGGAAATTCCCAGTGATTCGTTCACGCTGACGACCCGGCATGATTTTCAATAATACAGCGAAATCGTTGTGTGCGATCGTGGTTCGAACACCGGGAAAGAGTTCAAGGTCTGTTTCTATCTGGGTAAAGAGGCCTTGCGGAATTTGATAAGCCCAGATAAATTGTGATGGTCGGGGGGTATGTGTCTCGACGGTATGTGTGTCTAATTCAGCCTTTAGGTCTTCAATTGCGTCGTAGATATCATTCAGGGAGCGCGGGCGAATTATTCTTGCGTTAGGGGGCACGACAAGATCGTTCGACTCTCCAAGAAACGGCTGGTACGATGATTGGGATGGGGGCGTAGTTGTAGTGGTCTCTGAGCCTCTGGACGCAGAGGTAGAATCGAGGTTAGAACCGATTGACAGGTTTGCCTACGATTAATCGAATCGAGGTATATTAGATCATGTCTCTGTAGGTAAAAGGGGCCAGAAGATTGTGGACCTGGGTAAGACTCGACGTTCGCACCTCTCCCATCGTGCCTTCCGTTTTTTGTGGTCTATCCATTGTGACGTTGGTATATGGGCTGGGCTGTCAAGCTTTGGGTTGTAGATATGGTGTCGAGAAGATATTCAGATCGTTAACCTTAGAAGTCAAGCTCTCAGGCAGCGCTGATGTAAGGACGCGTGCAGATGGACGTTGACGGACATATGTAGGTAGATGTGATTGATAACGTCAGGGGCGTCACGTGACTACCTGGAACAGATCTGCCATAATTCGGCGGTGCGAATGGCAGCCAAGTCGCGCTATGCCTAAAGTAGTTGAGGGTTTAGGTTGGTAAATAGTATTTCTCCAATGTGCTGCACGTAGTTGTGATTCTCCTACTCCGTACAGTCACCTGGGCAATTTCAGCAAATGTACGGAGTACAGGCCAGGTATGTATATCTTTTTACAAAATTTCTATGTATGATATGTATGTCTCTCTGCTAGAATGTCAATAGATCAAGAATCCAGACTACCCTTTCCCTTGGTCGATCCCTCTACACACTGCCCACTCCCAAACATAGCCTTCGCCGCAGCTTGCCAAACGGTCTCCCTTTGCAAGTAATTATCCAGCGTATAGAACAGCCGACATTCAGCAGCCTCATAAACAAACTGCAGCGGTGTCTGACTATCTTCCGGGTCATACTCATTTCGCAGATTGAGGTTGCCACTCCATTGGAGCGATGCCGTCGTGCTCGGCTTGGACTCATTGAATGCCTTCCACTCGGCAGATGTCAGCAGTGGCGATCCACTGTTGACTGAGTCTTCAATCAGCCCGTTCGCTTGCTCGATATATCCGTTGATATAGTTGACCCCGAGTGACTGGCCGCCCTTGACGCCACCGACACCCTGCATGGGTGCATTCTGTGGACGGCCGCCAAAGGTGATAGTGCGGACGCCCTGGCGTTTCATCAGCTTGACAAAGAACGCGCAAGTCGAGACACAGTCGCCGTCTGTGATCTGTCATTTGAGTTTGTGTTAGTTTGTTCTCTTTTTTCTGTATTCTTGTGAGAAACGATCACTTACAATAACGATGTTATCCGCCGAGAAGGGTGCTTTGCTTGGGTTCAATGGAACAGGCCCGTAGCCGCTAATGGGAAAGTTTTCTGTAGAGGTGGAGGTGTAGTTGAAGTTGGCTAATAGGCTAGAAGCAGAGCTTCCCAGGATTTCGTGCGGCCCATAGAGATCTTCCCACGAGCTGAAGTCCGTGCTCTGGTCAGGTGGAACCATCTGCCGATACGCAAAAACATTGCTTGTGTCCGTGCTGTTGTCGCGCGAGTATGCCTTTGTGAGGTACTTAGCTGCATCGTGTGCTCTGAACCGCGTCGCTGTGTATGGAGCAGCATTGGGGAAGAAGATACGAGACAGGTCGATGCCAATAGACATGTATCCACCCGGGTTAGATGAAAGGTCAATCAATACGTTCTTCTTTCCAGATTCGGTGCTGTTTTGCAAGAAGTCAACCGCAATCTTAGCGACCTCTGATGCGCTAGATGAGAACGTAGGCAGAAATATGATTGCTGTGTTCTCCAGCTCTGATAATTCAGAGTAGTATCCAGCAATCGAATTAGCTGAATTACGCCAGGTGGTGCTGGGAAATCCCGGTATCTCAGAGGAGGCTGTCTCAGCGCCAGATGGGCTGCTCGAAGCTGTAGACAAGTCTCGAGGAAGACACTCTATGTCGTAGAGGTGTGTGCCATTTTCGTAAGAAAAGAACTTTTCGCTCGGTGTGGCTGTTTTCTGGATAATCTTTTCAGTGCCATTACCAAACTTGAGGGACAGCTGAGCGCCATCAGTCCAGTCTCCAATGGAAGCCCAGATTCCATCCACACTAGTAGGAGTGTTGGTGACACTACGGGCTGGCGCGGGGAACACTCGATTGTACCTGCGACAGTTAAATGTGATTCAATGTCGTGGCTGTAGAAGGACACCTACTGTGCATCACAATCCTGGAGATTTTGATCATTGGCATATGATTCAAGGTACGTAGCCACATCAGTGCCGTTGATTGACACCAGAGGCGAGACGGCGTCCGGGTCGACCTTCCGCAGTTTTGCATCGCCTGTCATGTTAGTTCAAATTTTTGATATATATACCGGTCTGAACATACCTAACACGTACACTTGAGGAAGTGCGAGCCCATCTGTTGAAATTGACACTAGAGGCATATCGATTTGATATGTGAAGATTGACTGTGAGCATAGCTGGAAGGCCAGGTGACCGTCATGGGCCGTTTTGATAAGGTGGTTGATTTCCAAGTCCATCTCAAATTGGCTGGTATAGCTATTGCTCTTGGCCTTGTCGATGATTATATCGATTCCCCCCATAATATCCGTGGAGGGCATGGTATATCCCGATGGAGGATCTAGCAGATACAGGTTAGCCAGGTTAAAGAATTCTCATTTGAATTGATATCACTTACCCTTCAAAATATCGATAGTCGACTGAAACTCGAGGATCTTTCGAACCTGATTCAAGAAATCAACGGCGCGGTTCGAGTCAAAGGGCATAGATAGCAGACATTGGTGTGCCAAATCATGAGGGACAAGGGCATTTGCTGCGACCGTTAGTTATCAACCAAGTGATAATTTTGATAATTTTGATAATTTCGAGCTCATGACGTACTCTGGTTTCGGTTGGCCTCTTCCACAAACTTGCTAACCTGAGCACACGGCTCAACATCGCGTATACTCCTAGTAGCACCGACAACAGCAGCCAAAGCGATCGGAGTCAACACAGTCTTGAGATGCATGGTGATAAGTTGAAGGCGTCAGGAGTCCATAATATTTCTGACCTTAAAAGGACTCATCCACATCCCCACTCTTTCTCAGGGGTCCTTGCTTCGGCTGTTGTTGACTGGGGGCTGTTCTGTTTTTAGCTGATCTGCACGATCGTCGCCAAGACGGACAAGAAGTCTGACGGGGTACGGAGTAGACCAGGTTCAAATTGATTACTCTGTACTCCGTAAGAGTCCAGAACTCGGATGTCTCGGCTGTTTGCTGTTTTTCTTGTTTTTTTCTGGCTGATTTGGGCAACATATGAAGATGTGATGGGATGATGTAGTTGTATTTGTTACATTGTTACACATTAGTTACCGCATTTGCTGACATACAGGGCTTTTTTGATGAACTTATTTAATTTGCATCAAAGTCATATTTGATTAAGAATGAATCCTCCATTAATCAAATACGCTTCTCTGGAAGAAAGCAACGATTTTACGTGCAGCTTCTTTGCCAACCAGTGGATCCAGCTGCTCGACATCCATGTTGGCGATATCACTAATATTGTCCGTTTCGATTATCAGCCGCTCTAAAGCTTGGGGCGTAACACCCGGCACAGCTCGCAGCATGTCTTGTGGAAGAACATTGAAGGTACGGTGCTCAATCCCAGTGGCAGCCATGACGTCAGCAGAGCCAAGCGAATGAGATATATCAATATCGAGGCCTAGCTGAACTGCGCGGAGTGGATCTGGCTCCTGGGCGTTCTTTTTGAGCTCTGCAAAAATCTCGGCTGTCTGGTAAGGGGACGAAGACCAGATGATCTTCAGGCGTGGGAAGGCGAGAGTAAGGAGCACTATTAGATGCTGAGCGGACTTTGGGTTAGACGGGTTGGCAAGCGAGCTGCTGCTAGTGGTGGTTGCAGTGCCGGAAGATGAGAAACCGTAATCTGTCATAAACGTGGGACCTGTTGGAACGGAGGCGAACGCATCAAACGTGAAAGATTTGTTTTGATCGAACTCAATCAATAGTAATGGGCTCTTGTAATACTGGAGCATTGTCTCGGCCTGGTTGTAGAGACGGCCATTCTTGAGAGAGCTTATGAGATCACGGATCGATTTCCTTTCGATACAAATGTCTGGAGTGAGAATGTAGTCACCCACGGTGAGCTGGCAGGGAATTACGACCATGTTGTTCCCATGTAACAGAGATGGTAGGGCACTTCGGAATTCCCGCACATCAACTACAACCCGAGGAGGGGATGCTGTAGCCGCCAGTCGTCCTCCTCCGGCAATACGAGTGTTGACGGTCCGGAGGAATTGCTCCTGGGGGTCTTCAGCCTTTTTGTCATGCGTCAAGGTGACTGCCATGTTCTGAAGATCAGGTTAGTTAACAGTGTGAAGGATGCAGCAGGGTAGCTTACCCCCTTCTCTTTGATCAGCTTTGTGAATGAGTCTTTCTCTCGTCGGACAGCACTCAGATACCGCTGTTCCTCGACAGAACCACCATAATACATGAAGTAGACCTTCACACTTCGCCCTGAATGGGAGCTGCGATATACCTCAACCCTTCGAATGAATGCGGGATCGGGTTCGTACATGATAATGTATCGCGGACGCACTTCCTCGAGTATATGCTCATCCATGTCACCGTCGTAAGGGTGTATCATGACCAGATCGTCCATATCATACAATTCGTAGAAATCTTCCATATCCTCCAACTCATCGATAATAACCTCCTCTTTCTGCGTTTCTTCCACGCCGGTGGGCTGAATCTCACTTAGTAAGCTGATGACCTGACCGGGCAATTCGACTTCGGTTTGGACACTGCTATTTGGCACACGACCTGCAGCCGAGGTAACTGCACCGCCGCCACGTACTCGACGACGTTTGTTTGGGGGAGGCCGTCCTTGATGCGCACTCTGGGCCGCTGATGACTCGGAGTTTCCGGACCTATCGTCCTCGCCTGACTGAGACAAATTCTTGTTGACATTTGAAAGAGACCTCTTCCAATTGAGATAGTCTCGCAGCCGACGCCGCATCATAAGCTCTGCAGAAGGCTTGTCATCACTCGGATCATCATGTTCTTTGGGCTCGGACCCTTGGGCAATTTGGGCATGCATGGTGGCAATGTACTCGCGAAGCTGGGTGCATATTCGCTGATCACTACACATAATCAATATGGTGCTATTTGATTGATGCATTCTCGCAGGATGGAGGTAAGCATCGTGTTCGATTTCTGCAAGGACCTCTGACAGGACACTCCACTTTGGGAGTTCCTCTAGAACTGGGTTCAACTCAGAAGAAAATGTAGTTGAAGATGAAAGGCGAGTCAGTTCGTTGTTCAATTTGCCTTGGTAGACTCGCGATTTCGCCGTCTGGAAAAGAACATGGGCAGCATCAAGGAAAAGCCACGGAGAGTAATTATGTCTGTTGGAGCCGGGAGGCGGAGCATGCGCAGACACAATAGTATCAAGGTACTGCACAAAAGATACCGCATCATAGCTGAGCAAAGCACTGCAGAGCTGTTAGTATAGAGAAAGGGAAAGACGCATGAGAGACACACTGAAGGACTGCTCGTAGGCTTGTCAGGTCGGCAACGATCTGTTTTGTCCTGAAGCTCACACGATGCCAGATTGGGTCTAGTTGACGTCTGATTATCATATCGAAATTTCTGTGCAAAGCACTGTCTAACGTCCACTCTTCCATATCCAGCCCGGTGTTACTCTTCCTGAGCTCAGTAATACTGATCTCTACGCATTCCAGGACAGCATTCTGAATTTCCCTCATTTTGTCGCTCATGGGAACTTCCAACTCAATCACTTCTGCCTTGCGATTTCCTTCTAGGGACTCAGCAACAGAAACGTGGAATCTAGGCCACAAGGAGGCCTTGCGTAGGAAAAGGTTCCGCAGCATGTTAGCCAACGGGGCAAAGCCTGTAGTGAATGGCTCCGGTGAGTCCGAGAATGCTTTCAAGAAGCCACTCTTGTTCGACTGTCGGTAAACCCTGATGATGAATGCTTCAAGAGATGTCGCCAAAACCTTGTCAGCATGCAAAATGACCATCCCGGTGACTTTCTCGGGATCAAGAAGTTCTAAAAAGATCAGCTAGTGATTTGAGCCATTATACTAGCATACATACTGGACAACAAGTCTACAACCAATATTCTGGATGTCACACTCAAAATACCTCCTTCGCCATATATTCCTTCTCTGGTAGTTTGTCAATACGCCGTAATTGACAATGGTAGAACCGAGAAACCCACCGCATTGGCACCGTAGCTTTCTCGGTATTGATCACTTTTAACCCCCTGCCGAGGGGGGACTTGCTGGTAGCATAATGCTCCGCCAATGCTGAGTTCGGGATCCATCAGCTTCCAACCCCAGCATCCGACCTGGGATGTAAACCAATCCACATACCCTCTCCGATCCACTCATTCTCGCGTTCATCTGCACCCACCACCAGGACCAGGTTGTTTCCCGCCGCATCGTAAAAGTGGAGGAGGTTTGATATCAGGTGTAGAAGCCCCAGGCCTCGTGCAAGAATGACTAGCTCATCTTCGGCGCGTAGTTCGGTGAAGAGCTCTTGCTGGTATTGCTTAATGGGGGGTTAGCGGGAAGCCTGGGCCGAGTTGATAGGATACTTACCAGTGGTAGAGACAGCTTCACCGGCACATTGGACCGTTCTGGAGGCATTGGGAGCACTTCCTAACGCGTTGAGGAATGAGGGTTCTGGTCAATGAGATGTCGCGCGATCACGTGTCCTGGTGCTATGATGTATGACGTAATGAATTGATGAACGACCTCAGGTCCTTCCAAGGTTGCTTGGAAGTATACGCAGCCTTTTTGAGGACAAGAAAAATAAAAAATAGTATATTTTTTTGGTGATTTGGTTTGTTTCATAAGTCTCAGGCAGCTACTCTTCGTTTGTTGGTGCTGGAGCTAGTTTTGGGTCATGACCCCCGCTATAGATAGTTACACTCGACAAGGACAAGTTGCCTGGAATGCCAGAAACTGCTACTGAATGAAGTACAGATAGATAATAAAAATTTTGACCAAGGGTCTCTTAGTTGGATGACTCGTTCAGTTCCTTCGCGCGTGCCTCGAGCTCCTCTTTCGAAGCCTTGGGAGGCATATCTACAAAGTGTCAGTCGCGAGCCTATATAGGTCTGGTTCCCAACTTACTGTCTGGAATCTGAGGTCCCTTTGACAAGAAATCCGCCGCGGTCGCTTTCTGGGTTTGTTTCTCTGGTTTCTTCTCGGCCTCATTGCTTCCCTTTTCGGGAGCAGATGGGAAGTCTGACGACTCGGGGATGACCGGCATTTTGGAGATATAGAAGAGCTCCTTGTTGAGTAGTCGCTAGCTAATACTAGCTCTTGTTCGCCGGTAAATAGAACAAATAAATCTTGTAACTTGGTGATGGTGAGTCGAGGAAGCAAGTGTTGAACGGCGGTTGGATGTCTATTTTATAGATCTCAGGAGGGATGACGTCGGTGGTCGAATTGCAACAAATAGCATGATAGAAGTTGCCTAGACACGTATGAGGGGAAAAGAACAACATATCAATATGATTTGATTTGATGGCTACGTTTAGTGGGTACCGGGGATAACTTAGGGGGCATGCACTGGTAGCTATGATTTGATTGAAATGCAATATAAACCTCATTGCAACAAACATAGCCGATACTGGATATATATAGTCAAAACAAGATAGATAAGTATTGCTAGTCCAAAGAATATTCCCGAGGTCTTCTATACATTTAATATGCTGCATACATCCTATTTCTGGTCAGCCATATTGACACACCGCATATTCACTTAGTTAACTAGCTCATCTTTAAAATGGTTCCTTCTTGTATGACATAGAACACCATTGAAACGAGCACGCTAAACCGCATCCCGCTATCCTCGTCACTCACGAAGATCATGTCAGCAATGTTCTATCAATTTGTATTTTTGAAACATCAAAATATCAAATAGAAAGACTATCAAACAATTATATAGTGTAGCCACACTTTGAATAGTACAAGAGAAGTACCACGTGCCGGTATGGCGGTGTTGCGGTAGGGCCAGGTCACTCCGGTGTATTGCGCCCCGCCTACGCCTTCTCACCTCCGGTTCATCCTCTCCAACTCTCTAAGGCAACCGCCGGTCGGCTCCTCTCTAACACCCCGGCCTTCGGATCTAATCAATCGATTATAAGGAAACCCTGTACCCTCCCCCACTACCGTGTCCGTCGGTGTGTTGGCGCTATTCCATCATTCGAAGATACCCGCCCGGCTGCAATCCATGGATCCATGGATGTGTGCTCTACTCACGTAACCACCCTTCGAACTATCACCTTTCCCCTCTCCATTTAGTGGGGGACCATCTCGACTCACCATGCCCTCCATCCTCAGTGATGCCGACAAGGAAACTGTTAAGCGGAATGTCCCCAAACCCGCCAACAAGATCCTCGCCGTAGCTGTCGCGCGACTCTACGTCGCCTACCCGGATGGACAGAAATGGACATATACCGGAATTCAAGGGGCTGTTGTCCTCTGCAATGACCTCGTGGGAAGGACTTTTTGGCTTAAAATAGTCGATGTCTCGGTAAGCGGTCCATACTGCTGTTGGAGATAAGAGTAGATGTGCTGACAATGCGTTGTTGCATGCAGCCCACTGGCAGGGGCGTGATCTGGGATCAGGAGATCTATGACAACTTCGCTTACAACCAGGACCGAACCTTCTTTCATACATTCGAGCTCGAAGCCTGTCCCGCCGGCCTGTCCTTTGTCGACGAGAAGGAGGCCAAGACCTTTATTAAGAAGGTGCATGAGCGCGAGAAACATGCAAGTAAAGAGACCACTAAGACTCCTTTCGCATCTACTCGAGGCCAGGGACCTGCTCCTGTTACCAATGGGAAAGTAGGACGGTCTTTGTTTGGCAGCTTGTTACATCGTTCGAGCCCAACTCCCAGTGCACCACCGCCGACAGCACCTGCGCCTTCAATACAGATTGCTCCTCCACCTCTGACACTGTCCCCAATCACACCATCAGCTAAGCCGGATTTGCCATTTGATACGAGTGACCCCTCTTGGAAAGGTTTGCTGGATGAGCTTAAGGGGATGGGAATTACCGAAGACCAAATCGCTGAGAATTCCGAATTCATCAAAGCTTGGATTGACCAGAAGCAGGCGGCAGCGGCTGAGTCTGTCCCTGCTGAGGATCAGAATAAACCAAAGGCTGCTCCTCCACCGCCACCTTCTGCACCTCCCGCTCCGAAAGTAGCCACGATCAGTCCTCAAGACACGGGTTCTAGCTCGACAAGCAGAAGGGGACCACCGCCGCCGCCCCCATCACGGAAAACACGTTCTGAAGCACCAGAGGAACCGGTTTCCCTCCCCCGTGAGCCATCTCCGCCTGCGCGAAGATTCAACGCGCCGCCTCCATTTGCAGACGCAGGAAAATTCGCTGAGCCCGCTGGCCCTGTGCCTCCGCGGCGTCCACGCGCAACTTCGAACGTCAATGCTGGGCCTCCGCCGCCGCCAAGACCACCGAAGACACCGATGGACGATAGTCAATATATTCAATCGAGTCAATCTCGATTTGGGGTACCACCGCCTTTCTCTGGTGATCGCAAGGTGTCTGTGCCACCGGCACCCCCCAGCCGTAGCCCTGCACCAGGTGGACCTCCTCCTCCGCCGCCTCGCACGGCGAGCCCAGCAGCACCACCCCAACTGCCCCCCAAAGTGCCGCCCATGAGCATTACAACTGGGCCTCCTCCTCCACCCGCCAGAGGCCCCATTTCACCCCCACTTCCACCCCCCCCAGCGCCTCGACCCGTGCCAGCTGCACCGTCTTCTCCTGCGGCAGCTCCTCCTCCCCCACCCAGAGGACCAATACCGCCTCCCCCGGCCCCGCCCTCGGCTCCTACGTATTCTCCTAGCATTCCTCCACCACCTCCGCCGCCTGGCTCTGCAGCACCCGGTGGCCCCCCGCCCCCTCCCCCTCCTCCGGCGCCTGTTTTGGGGGCACCAGGTGGACCACCGCCGCCGCCTCCACCTCCTGGGGCGCCTGGAGGTGGTGCTGCACCACCCTTGCCAAAGCCCGCCGGTGGACACAGCGATCTGCTGGCGTCCATCAGAGCTTCTGGCGGCCACGGAGGCGCAGGCTTGCGCAAGGTCAAGGATACGGAAAAGAAAGATCGAAGTAAAGCTTTGGTACCCGGTGGTGCTAACGAGTCATCAGCTACAAGCTCCAACGCAGGAGGCGCCCCTCAAGGTGGTTTGGCCGGCGCATTGCAAGATGCTCTCAACAAGCGAAAACAGAGAGTCAGCGGAAGTGGTAAGTCAATCCCAACACGGAAAGGCGGATCTATATGCTAACTATGTTGGTAGATGACGAGAAAGACAACGACGACGATTGGTGAGCAGTTAGTATTCGTGACTGTTCAAGTATTTCGAGATACAATTGGCTTTTGCGCATTCTTGCGAGCATTGAGCATTCTGCTTCCTGGTCCAGCGTTTTGCCTAAAAGTTTGGCTTCAAGTGTTAACAAAAGAGGGGCAATGCACTTTGTATATAGCTTTCATGGTAGATCCAGTGGCGAGAGATAGTCTCAGTACGAGGAAGTATATGTTTTAAATTCTCTTTCTTAGTCCAATGACACCGGGGGCCTCCACATGTTTATGGCCAGTGGAGTTTAGGTTACACCACCGTAATAATCCTCCCTCTCTTGGGTCTTTGCCCGTTGAAATTCTGTGCTCTATCTTCCGTCTTTTGGATCCTATTGGCCTCATATCAGTCAGCCAAACCAACTCCAAATTCCCAACAACTATGAGGCGATTGAGGCAAACTTGAATCAATGCAGTAGGGAGAAGGGTGATGGTTGATTGGGCACTGAGCCGAGAAGGAAGTAATTTGACTTGACCAATTGATAGTAATTTGGTACGTAGATAGAATCAATATTCTAATTCTCATAGTACAAGATATGAGGAATAGTGTTTTCCAGTTATAGTTCTGATTCTCGGGTCAAAATTGTTCCGGGAAACGGAAAAAATGCGTATCTGATCTGATCGGGAGAACTTGCGATACAGCTCGGTCGATAATTCAGAGACATGCTGTCTCCGAGGCTGTCTGCGCCTTCTGCCTCTTTATTGCGCTTTCTACGATCGCAGTCTGGGTTCTCAGCCGTACCATCAGCATGCGCTTATCCGAAGCGCCTTGCCAGCCGCGATAAAGGCTTCTCGACAGGACAATTCTCGAGCTGGACGCGTCTCAATACTCATAGCCCCGCAACACTTGATACCACACTATGCAGCACTCAGTATGGAAGACCAAATTCCACTAGAGCAACAATGCCGCCGCCATTGGTGCCTACGCAGCTGAAATTCTCGCGTCATGCATCAACCAAAAGCCGACCCTTTCTCCGACGGCTTTTTGGCCTCAAGCGGCATAAAGCTTCCGACCACAAGGATCAAGGCCCGGCTGGCCCTGGGCTTATGGATGAGGGAACGGAGGGGATGTTTAATATTGGCCGCAGCATATCAGCTAAGGCGTCAAATGAACTGCGAATTCGATGCACGGAGTTTGATATCAATGGAGACGTTACACTCGTTAACGGAGAGTTCCGGAAGCAGGAGCTGATTGCCAAGGTTGGTAAAAAGGTCTCGAGTCTGAGTTTGACATTTGCTAACCGGTGCATCACGATTCAGTATGGCCTTCTTCCCCGAGATCTACGTAAGATTGATTCGTCGACTCTCCCTCATATCCTGGTACGACCTAGAGCAATTCTCATCAATCTATTGCATCTGCGCGTCCTCATCAAAGCGGACCGGGTACTCGTTTTTGACGCGTATGGATCAACAGACTCATACATGCAATCGCTGTTCATCTACGATTTAGAAGGAAAGCTCCGCCAAAGGCAACCCCAGGGTGCCAGTCAACCGCTACCGTACGAGTTTCGCGCGCTGGAAGCCGTCCTCATTAGTGTCACGAGTGGCCTAGAAGAGGAGTTCAATGGAGTGAGAGATCCTGTTGTGCGGGTTCTTCGTGCACTCGAGGAGGACATTGACCGAGATAAGCTCCGGCATCTCTTGATCTACTCCAAGAAACTGGGTACATTTGAGCAGAAAGCTCGCCTGGTACGAGATGCCATTGATGATTTGCTGGAGGCGGATGATGATTTAGCAGCAATGTACCTATCTGAGAGATCGGTCGGCAAAGAGCGAGAAGAGGATGACCACCAAGAAGTGGAAATGCTTCTGGAGTCATACCACAAAGTGTGCGATGAGATTGTTCAGGCCAGTGGAAACTTGGTGACGAGTATTCGCAATACGGAAGAAGTGTAAGTTGAATCGTTCATGATATGCAAAGCACCTCTAACACAACTCAGAGTCAAGGCTATCCTTGATGCCAACCGCAACTCGCTCATGCTCATGGATCTCAAATTCAGCATTGGAACACTCGGCCTCGCAACAGGAACATTATTCTCCGCTCTCTACGGCATGAACTTGAAGAATTTCATTGAAGAATCGGATTTCGGTTTTGGGGCTGTCTCCGTGTTCTGCTTTGCTCTGACTGGTGTCGTCTGTGTCTACGGTCTCTCCAAACTGCGCAAGCTTCAACGCGTCCGCATGTGGGGTGAATCCGGCGTGGGAGGCTCCACCTTCTCCCCGCTCTCCCCGAAGCGCAGCGCGCTCGGTGGGAATCGGACTAACTGGCGTGCCGATTCAATCGAACCGGTATGGGGAAGTCTCCCAGGGGAGGGCCGACCTGAACGCCTGAGACGCCTCAAGGAGAATGCGGCTGCGGTTGCAGCTCAAGCTGCATCAAAAACGACACCTGCCAACTCCAAGGCTGCTATGCAAGCATCAGCCACGGCCTCTAACAACGCTCGTGCGGAAAGTGGCAGCAGTGGAAAAGAGGCCGCTTGCCCCGAAGATCATATGAAGTCTGATGCCTGATACGTAGTGATTCAAGTATGTCTTGACGGTTTGATTGCGTTATAATGGGAGCCTAGGCGTTGTGATTTGGATCTTCAACTAACATTTAGCAACGGAGTTGAAGAGGTCTGTAACATTATTGTACATTAGCACACTCCTTTCTCTATTCCCCTCGCTATATGTTTATGTTTTGTTTAGGTGTGAATAGATCTAGAGCATATATGATGACATATTAATGCCATTTGTCCCTATCATTTTCCTTGAAAGGGGCCCTCCTGTTGGAGCCAAGTACTTGCTGATCTTCCTTGGCAAGCTATTAATATACCTTGTCCCATGCGCTTCGTCCCGGGGTTATTTACTATATGGAGTTATCCTTCTCTCGTTAACCACCGAGGCAGCCTTATGAAGAATCAGTTGTTAGCTTCGAGGTTCTCTGAAGATGGTTAGTGACACGGTTTCTTTTCGTTATCAATACTTCGGCCATTCTGGACTTGGAACGCTAGCTTTAGGGCGTTGCTGCTGTGCTCTACATTCTTTGTGCTCTTGCCTTCAGGATATCGTCCAGGAGGATTGGGCTCGTTTTCTGCTATTAGAGAGTTTACCAAAAATGTACTTGAATCACGAAAGGTAGGATAGGTAGGTAGCAGTCATCTGTGAATGCTATTGGCATCTTCATTTGAATATCTTATTAAGCTTGGTGCACTGTCCCCTGTCCCCGGTGAAGACTCTTCGTCCGTTCAACCCAGAGCTTAGCAGCTACCCGAATGCCACCATCTCGGGAGCACTCACGCTCAACCACTTCCATAATCTTCTTCAGAACAGCATCTTCTTGGTTTCTTTTCGTTAGAGAATCTATAGACCCCGGGTTCTTTAGCCACTCGCTTGTGACCTGCTGTCGACCTCCAATCAGCGCCATGTTAATCGCTCCCGGAGTGCGTAGCCATGTCTTCTCAACATCGAAACCAATTTCCTCGGCAAGACTCATTGTTTTTGCAGCGAGAGATCCAATCATCGAATTCAGAAACCCGCTCTCGGCCTTTTCTTCGATCTTGATTGCCCGAAGTGCCCTCAAATCACCAGATGCAGGCTGTAGATTCTGTTCGATCTTATCATCGACTTTCCTTGCGACAGGGTTTCCATTCGCACTCTTTTGTATTGGACCACCCTCCTTTGGCGGGGGATATCGATACGACGAACCAGCAAGTGAACGAGAACAGCATGGAACCACAAAAAATGGCAATGGCGATGAGGGATTTGATAGGGCGGCCATTAAAGGGGTCCATACTGTGAGCTCATCTGCGTGGTCGGAGATGATGAATGTATTATCCGGGAAATCGCCGGTGTGTATCGCCGCTCCAATTTGTTCCAAGTCCAGTACATCCCCAAAAGGCCGAGGAATGAAGATTCTCTCTTCCAGACATTCCTGTATCTCTGATGGGAATGTTTCCCAGGACTTCCGACGGCAAGCGTCAAAGCCTAAGCCATTGTATCCTTCCATGAGAAGCACGTATACAAGGATACCATTCCCACAAGCCAGGTCCACGAATCCTGGGAACGGCGCTGTGTTTTCCAATAGCTGCTCTTGTTCTGTTGTTGGTATAGCGCCGTACATGCTCCTCCACAGTTCAATTAGGCACGCAGCGAGAGACAGCTGCTCAAGGGCTTGGTTGGGTGACTCAAGTTGTTCAACCCAATTCTGGCGCAACTTTTCTGCATACTGGGCTTTCAGCCGGGCATATGTGTTTTGAATGAGATGTACTGAGACAATATCCCCGGCTTGATCACCTCGCTCAACCCAGTCCAGGCTCACATTTCTAGAGGTGAGTCGGCGTTCCATATTAACGTTTTAGATGACCAAATATGGCCGACAGTTTCAGTGAACTGCTCTCTCGGGGGCTGGATGGGTCCCCCAAGGGCTCGTTTGGGTCAAGGAATTTGCTGTCCACGGTTTCATTGAATGATGGTGTATCAAAGAATATTGTGTGGAAGCAAGACATGGTGGCATGGATATTTGCCTGGCAGAATATTGGACAACTCGGCTCACTTGAAAGAGTGTAAACAAGGCGGAGAGAAAGGCGGTGGACTCCCTCTCTAGAAGCATTGGATCGAAGGTCAGAGAGAGGGCTGAGTGGTTTATACTGTTCCAAGGCTATGATCGACATGGGTTATAACAAGCGACAGAGGCTAGCATTTGGCCAAGTTGCAGATAGAGAAATTGAATGTATGCAAAATATCCTGTAAGACAAATTGATAGGTAGATCAGGTGTATTCCCATAGTACGAACTGCATGTGCGCGTCAACCCGCGGTAAGACCTAGGACGGCAGTCATCACTACACAATGCTGAGAAGGAACTATATCTAGCTCAATCTCCCATTGAAAAAGAAAGAAAGAAAAAGCAATCAACCCATCAAACCAAAATGAAGCTGATCCAACAATCCCTTCTTGCCCTAACTCTCCTCCTCCCAGCAACCATAGCTGGCCACCCTACCTCACATCCTCCCGAAGAACTCCAAGCCCAAAAATACAACTGGACCTTTGACCTATTCCACAACAAGCACTGCGTTGGCACTGCAGTCAGCTACGCGGGACAGGGGTCCTCGGGCTGCCGCACCAACCTCGAGAATGGAGTTGCGGAGGCTCTCATCAACGTCAATATCGATCGGAGCTGTAAGGTGAAATTGTTCAGGGATAAGAAGTGTTCACGGCATTCGATGGTCGAAGAGATCAAGACTGGAAGTACTACAAAGTGTAGACCCATCTCACGGAAGAAATCCACAGTCTTGAGGTATCTTGTCAGTGATATGTTGATATCCTTGCTGGGCTAGGGATAGATCAAAAGATAATCTAATGTTTAATATACTGAAAGCCGAATAGTTGCACATGGACAATCTTCCGAGGTTGGAGGTAGAAAAGGTGATAAGCCTGTTATCGGGGTCCACCCATGACGCAAAGAGACCCAGACCTGAACCTGTGCCGGATTTCACTTTTCATTCCGTCTTCTTTCCTTTTCACTAGATCCATTTCAAATAATATATAATGGCTCCCCGATGCTTTATTATCCGCCACGGCGAGACTGAATGGTCGCTTAATGGTCGACACACCGGTGTCACCGATCTACCATTGACAGCCAATGGAGAGAAGCGCATTCAAGCAACAGGCAAAGCCCTCGTCGGAAACGACAGACTAGTTGTTCCCAGGAAGCTCGCTCATGTGTAAGAAACAATTCGTCGACACCGATGACCACTATTCCACTCCAAAGGCAACTAACAAAGCCGTTCTAGCTTTGTCTCCCCCCGCGCCCGCGCCCAGCGTACCCTAGAGCTCCTCGAGCTTGGCTGCCGGGGACGAATGCCTTGGGGTGAACAAGGGAAGCCCGAAAACAAGGAGGCAATCCGGACCGAGGCTGAGGTTGAAGTTACGGAGGCGGTGAGAGAGTGGGATTACGGGGACTATGAGGGGTTGACGAGTAAGCAGATCCGTGAGCTGCGAGTTGAAAAAGGCGAGGGGCCGTGGAATATTTGGACCGATGGGTGTCCCGGTGGAGAGTAAGTGATTATTTTCTTCGTTGTCCTCTGATTCTAGGTCTTGCTTCCAAGCTATGCGTTGAACATTGTTCGGGTGTAGTCTTTCCATGCTAACATCCATTTCCCTCCTGGCAGATCCCCTGAGGATGTCATTCGCCGCCTTGACGCTCTGATCGATGAAATCAAGAACAAATACCAGCGTCCCTGCTTCGAGAACCCAGATAATCTCAAGGGCGATGTTCTTGTTGTCGCGCACGGCCATATTCTGCGTGCTTTTGCCATGCGCTGGACTGGAAAGCCGTTGACGGAGACAACACTCATTCTCGAGGCTGGTGGTGTAGGCACACTCAGGTAAGGCTGGCTCGGCCTTTAGGCAGAGATAAATCACCCACCTGCCGTAGTATATGGAGCACAGCTAACATGACTGGAAATAGTTATGAACACCATAACATCGATGAGCCAGCGATCATTCTCGGTGGTCAATTCGTTGTGGAGTAAGAAAACACCTCATTTGGATAGAGAGAGCATAAGAAGAAAGGGAGTCATATCTCTGCTGTTGGGTTGAACATTGGACATATGTTAGCACACCAAGTCATGGAAATTATTACCGACAGCCCATGAAGCATCACAACTACGATCAATCCGACTCACCATAATCATATCAAATCAATACCAAATCATAATGATCCATCAATTCAATCCTCATCACTCTCCTCCCTCTTGATTCCCCCCTCTTCGGAACCAGCCTTCTTCTCCTTGTCCGCATTTCCCTTGACCCCTTCCTCTCCCAGGATTTTCGCAGACGCCATAAAAAGCGCCGCAGAATACCCGCCTAGGAAGCGCATGTCCCCTGCCTGCACGGCGGTCATGCGGAGTAGGTTCTCCGTGTCGGCGAGGTTGGCGTTGAGCTGTGCGAGCTGGGAATGGAGGTGAGCATATTGCCGCGATTTAGCAGCGGACATAGAAGGGGTTGAGGCGTTGTAGTTGTAATTGGGGGTGTATATAGTGTTTGGGTTTGCGTTGAATGTGTGGGTTGCTGTTGTGTTGTAGTTGCCGTTCCCTGGGAGGATAGAGGGGCGGGAGTAGGTGGTGTTAGATTCTTGGCGGCAGTGGATTGGAGGGGGTGGCATTTTGTTTATAATTTGGAAACTGGCTCAAGTGGGAGATATGGTTCTGGGTATGGTCTTGCTCGCGTGAAGGTTGGATTTTGTTTTGAGGTTGTGTTGGTTATCGATTATTTACTATCAGGCAATCACGTGTCGATACAGATATACTTCATTTTATACAGCATTCGAATATCTCCTGTTCATTCATTAAAATAGTACGTACTTGGATGGTAATAAGCTGTAACAACCTCAACGGTATAACGGTAAGGTCTATCAATTTGTGTGCTCCTTGGAACAATAAAGTGCTGTTCAAAATATGCAGCGAAACGGAACACTGCAGTGCACCCTTCATTAATTTTCTCAGCAAAGCGCGAACCCCATAAGCAGATCACGACACAACTCAATGAACCGAATAAATTCAATCCCCGCTCTTTTGGAAGCGCCAAGACCAGACCGAACCACAAAATCAAAGATGAGGCCATTTGCATCAAGCCAAGCCGAATGAGAGACAAGGAAAAAGACACGGCAAATGAAGGAAATACCCGGGGGAGCGAATGATGATGAACAGACAAAATGGAGACAATAGGCGTATACGAGTCTAGATGGGAGGAAACGGAATGCGCCAGCTGATAGTATACAGTCATGCAGAGAGATGAAAAGGTGGGCAGGGGAGCCAACGACGACGCTATATCGACATGCTGTAAAGATGAAAAAAGGAGGTAGGAGGAAGAGAAACAGCAAGGATAAGGATGTCCCAGTCTAGGCTCGCGTAGTGGCCTCATTAAAAATCGATAATGCCGCGAAACAGGATGAGTATCGATGCAGAGCAAAATCACACAAAAAAAGACAAAACTCGCACGCGCACCTCGTTATCCCAACCACACTCCGAAACAAAAAAAAAATGAAAAGATGAGCAACGAATACCCCTATGTCCCTCATGTATATGTAAAGAAGCGAACAGCAGAGTATTAACCAGTGCTTCAATAGCACGGGACCGAAGAATAAAGTCCCAGCACAATGACACCATGATGCAAAAAGGTCCAAACATGACCAATTTCGGCGGACGATGATTGTCTAAGCCGAGGAAAAATGCAATGCCGAAAAGGGAATTCAATCATGGAACGCCGGTCAGCTGTTGAGAAAAGCGGGATTTTTTTTCAAAGGATTTTTTTTAGCGAACGGGCGCCGCGACCCCCTGGCCGCCGAGGCTGACCTGACTACTGTGAGATGAGGGTTCGGAATCAATATTTGCACTTGCTCCACTGTCACCACTCCCCGCGCTGGCGCTCGCACTTCCGGTCAGATTCTGGTTTTTAGGAAGGCCCTTAGCGGGGAACGCGTTGCTCACCCCATAGTGTTGCTCAACTTGCTGCGGCCCTGCCGCGTTTCCTTGTCCCTGAGGATAGCGCGGCACCGGCGTACGCATGTTACCAGGAGGTGATGGCTGGCCATTGTTAGGTCCACCAGAGGGGCCAAGACCTTGCATTGGAGGGCGACCCATCCGGGGCCCTCCTGGGCCAGGGGGTCCCGGGGGTCCACCGAATGGAGTCATAGGAGTCTGGCTGTTTCGCCGGCTCTGTGGAAAAGGTCGAGGTGGGTAGTCGCCCATGTGGCTAGCCGTTAAAGAATTGGCTCGAGAATCCGCGTGCATCTGGTTTCGGTCAACGGCTCCATATCTGTTGGAGGAGTAGCTCATCATGGGGTTGTCCATAAGTGAATCATGGAGACCCGGGATTTCTTGCATCACACGGTCACTCGTGCGTTTTCTGCCAAAGTAGCGGTTGAAGGCTGATGAGGAAGGGCGGCTGCCTCCAGAAGGAGCAGCGCTTACACCAAATTCTGGGTTTTTACGCAACTGGCTGTGGCTGGGGCCCTTGCGCCCTCGGCGTGAAGTCATGCTCATCATGTCGACACTGTCGGGGTCGATGTGAGGAATCGCCATGGTATCCATCGGGTCAAAGTAATCCTCATCTTCTTCATCGAAGGCCGTGGCAGGGCGGGAGGGAGCCGGTCCACGACGTCCTGGGCCCGGAGGACCTCGGCGCATGTTCATTTCCTGTTCACGCAGCTGTAGCTCACGTTGGCGAAGAGCCAGCTCTCTCTCCCTCAATGTCAACTCTGAAGCAGGGCCAGGTGCTGGTTCGGGGTACCCATTTCCATTCTGATGCGGTATACTCGGTTCGCCCTGCTCGTCGTAGACAACCAAATGGCTGAATTCCTCAAGTCCCTCCAATGATGGGTCGCGCTGAACTCGGTTGGAGGGTGGCATCGGCATCGGTCCGCCTGGGCCCCTTGGCATCATACCAGGGGGTGGGCCTCGTCTTTGTGGCGGGACCATGCTCATGCTTGAGGGTGTTCGACTTCCCCGCATAGATGGCGGGCCACCATTCATCATAGGCCGCTGCTGTGGGGGTGCGGAAGACAATCGGGGAGGCGGCTGACCCATGACCGATGCAGGGGGTGACTCTTGCCGGGACTTGTTCTGGTTTGCGATATTGATGTGATGTAGCATTGCGTACATTGTTTCAATCCGGGGAACGCGAACATTGGACTCGATTGCCAACTTGATTGGTGACCCTAGGAAAGTCTCAACCTCCATGGGGCGTCGGCCCTGGAAATCTGAGTACATTGTGGTCGGGGGTTCCATTGCAATCATTTTTTGGACCGTCTTATCCGGGAAATCGCTGGGGAATGAGCAACCGTGCGCAGAGGCCAGCTCCATCATCTCGTCGATCAAGCCCATTATCAGTGGACGAACACCGGTTTTTTCGAGGAGTTGTGTATGGTTTGGGGTGTCGAACAAAACACTTGCGGGATGGAACGCGATCGGGCTGGGAGACGTTTAGCATGCAAAGTTTGGATTCGAGCGGATCGAAAGGAACTCACCCTATCATTCGGTCGAACTGCTCCTGTCTGATATTATCGGAAACCTTGCAGTCGACCTGACCGGAGTTCAAAGTCATTGCCAATGCCGCCGCCATGTCGTTCTGGACTGATGTCGGGATGGAGGAAGATTTGTTGGTTGCGCCCACGTAAATCTCACTCGAGCTTAGATGTTCGAACTCGCTGGGGCCCGTCTGGGAGATCTCCACATTGGAAACGAGAGAAAGGATGACATTGGTAGGGTATCTTTGTTCGAGATGGGCTTCAATGCCGAGGGTATTTGTCGTATTCACCAAAATACAGGTGTGCTGGGGAGTGACGACGGATTCAATGACGGAGGCAAGGTCGTAGACGTCCGGCAAGGCTTTCACGCAGAGGATGACATAGTCATAGGCATTTTCACGGGATGAGGCGTCTTCGGGAGCACGAACAACTAGAAACCGGGACAAGTCAGCCGGGGGCTCTGGCTAGGGCTTAGGCCGAGTGTTGATATCGAAATCTCACCATGTCGGGGTTTGAATCGTTCGTTGCCGAATGCTTTTGATCTGCGGAGGGAGTTAGCCATCTGGCTGTGACACAGCAACCTAGATACATACTTGAACGAGACACCGTATTGAGACACGGCATCAAATCCGGATTTCCAGACCAGCGTAACGTCGCAGGAGGCTGTCGCCTGAAGTCGCCATGAGAGAAAGGCTGAGATCGCATTGCCACCGACTACACAGACTTTCGTTAGACGACGAACCATCTTTTTGTGATATCCCAGACGTTAAGATTTAGGCGGAAGTTGAACTCACCGGACAGGATGCGCAGACGTGGAGGAGGAGCCATGATCTCTCAAATCTGGAAGGAACTGGGTGGGAAAGTCCCAGGTCAAAAGGTCTAGGTTCCCTATAACACGAGAAAACGAGAGAACGGAGGAAAAGAGCGAAGGGGGATTGAAAGAGGGAAGAGGGAAGAGAAATTGAGGAGGAAAAAAAGGGAAGGAGAGTTGTAATCAGAGGAAGGATGAAATTCGAAATTCGAATGGAAGTTTAGACCGGGGGGGGGAAAAGACAGGGTTGTCCACGTTCAAGTTTCTTTTTGCCGTGTTATCTTTTTTTCCTCCTCTCGATTTCTCTTGCCTTCACGCTTTAGGAAGTAAAATAATAGACCAAAACGATTGAATGCGATCGGTTATCCAAACCTCTCTTTTCAAATTTTTTTCCCTTTTTTCTCCTTGATACTTGGAAGTTCTCAATGGTCGTGGATCCCTCAGTCCGGAAACGGAAATCAAGGAGCGATAAGAATATTTTGACGGAAAAGAGATGGATGCAGATGTTCTTAATCTTCTTCTTGATCTACTTCCTTGGCGTCTATTTGGATATACACTCTTGAGATCCATCCTGCTTACTTCTACTCAACATCCTACGGGTATAACCTCCATATCTGGCTATTTTGCGGCTGATATATGGAACAACAATTAGACTGAAGCTTGTCCCGTAGACTATATACTCGAAATACATACTTGGTAGACACACATGGATGGTCAGGCGCAGATATCGCCAACTCAATTATATATAGCAATCTATATTTGCTAGCCTTGAGAGTTGGGCATGTACTACGGAGTACATATTGGTGCCTTGATAGTCTGATGCTATAATTAACTTTAGTTTCCTTTTCCGATCCGTACAGAACAATACCGTAATTTTGAAATTGACTTTGCCTTTCCCAAAAACGGCCTCCCCGATCTGCTTCTGTCCTTGTTTTCCCACTCTCTCGCTCTCTATGTTGTATGTTGTACTGTTCTTTTGACGTCTTTCGTTAATTGGAGCACTCCAACGACGCGTTTTTTGCCGCGTCGGTGGTCTCGTCACCTACCTCCACTCCAAAAACCCACCTACCTCGGCCGGAACTAACATTGGGCAAGATATATAGTGTCAAAGTACTCCGTACTCCAGATTCGTCCAGAATAACCTATAATCGGGAATCCCGCCAACAAAGCGAAGTACTTTTGTACGTGCCCAGGTGTTTTCTGGAAACATGGACCGTGGGTTTATCTTCCAGTGTAGTCTTACCGAAGTAAACAGCATACACCTGTATCTCCAGTTCCTCAAATCAGGACGGCATATCGGGCACATTCTTTGAACCATTCCAAGGAG